ATGGAAACCTACAATTTTTCAATCAAGCATGATGTTTGACGTTTGTCCTAAATTCCTATGTAATTGTTTTAGTTGTCAAAACGTATTAAATTTTCGTAGATAGCTAAACTTCGATAATTATAATATTAAAATGTCTGATATCAGCGATATAGAAGACTCCTCCATACATATCGGAGAAAGGAGAAAATGCAGTACAAAATATTTTGCCCCAAAAATCTGTGGTAATACCAATACCCAAGGTAATACCATTAATTACAATTTTGTAGAATTTTTTATAGAAATACGAGTAATTACTGTTATTGTGTTCAATGCCAATATAAATAGAATATTTATAGGTCTTGATTATTTATCGGGTGTAGAAAAAATAGCGTATGCAACTCTCATGTAATGGTTATTAAAACACTCGCATAAACCATACGAAACTCGCCTTTGGCTCGTTTCGTATCCCGGTTAATGCTCGTGTATTAATAACCATCATTACATGATCGTTGCATAATATACTATTTTTTTTTTTAAATGTGGACATAATAAAAACAAAAATGCTATTATTTATCGAGTCTACACAAAAATTTTAATGTATATTTAATATCAATAACTAAAATATATATTGACAATTAGTTTAACAGAATTATCACTTATTTAAAAATTTTTAAATAATAGGAGTTGGGTGACCAAAATATGAACTGTGATTTGTAGATTTAATTTTGTTAAAGTGTTCTCACTACCTAAAATGGATATGAAATATATTCGTAGTTGAACGCAATAACATAATTTTTCGTTTTGTAGTATGTGCGTAGATTGGCTAATATCCATGCACAGATTACAAAACGAAAAAGTATGCTATTGCCTTCAATTGAACGAATATATTTCATATCCATTCTAGGTAGTGAGAACACTGCAAAAAAAAAATAAATTTGCCAATCACCGTTCATATTTTGATCAACCGACTGCTATTATTTTTAAAATTTTAAATAAATGACAATTCTGTCAAACTAATTGTCAGTATATTTTTTAGTTATTGAGATTAAACATACAATAAAATAAGTTATTCTTTTGGAAAACGTTAGCATGGATGACTAAAGGGTATTGGGTTAATTAATTCTAAAAGTGTGGTACAAATGTTATTTTTTGTAGCCAATTCTTCAAAATTATTTTAAAATATCTTTTCAATATTGAATATTAGTTCTACAAATTCATCATTTGACAGTTGCAGATTTCCAAATGTATCTGAATTGGCGTTATCATATGCCTTTTAAAAGCAATAAAAAGAAAAATCGTCTAATTCAACGTGATCTTTGTTATATTTAAGACAGGTATCGCAGGAGTGGATCCGCAAGGCCTTTATTAAAAGGTAACCACACACATACCTGATAAAAATTTTCTGTAGCAATTCGTCTTTACAATAATTTAGGGTGTTAATAATTTCATCATAAAATAAAATACAAGGTGTTCCATTTAAAAAACATACATTTTAATTTTCCAGGCAAAAACGTGACACCCTGTATATCCAAAGATATTTTTAAAATATGTAGGTATTTTTCAAATCCATATAACTTTTATTTAAAACTTTCTTGCGTGTCTACAACAAAATAATGAACAATAACGCACTAATGAGACACCCTGTATAAATTATATTTTTAACAATGAAAATGTCTTATAATGTAGTACTTATCGGTTTGGGTCCTTGGGAAAACTAAAGAATGTTTTCTTGCAGGTATAACCCTTATTAAAACAGCTTTTGACTGCACAAACTCATTCTACTCACAGCTAAAGAGTCACCAAAATAATAACAGTACCTTTAACTCAAACAAAATCAACGAAATTATAGGCTCCACGAAATTATACAATCAACGAAATTATACGCACGACTCAACACCTTGCCTAAGTACGCTTCTGAACGCCAAAACCGTCTTTTCCCTTCGAAGGCGGAGCTTAAGCGATGCGCGACGAAATCGACGCAAACCGTTGCCGCCAAGAGAGTGTTTTAGCTGTATTATTAAGCTGTGCCCAAAGTGTGATGTGCGCGAGAATGGAAAAAAGCCTTCGTGATTGGACTGCCTGAGCGAACAGCCTATAACAGGTGTGTGACGACCAAGATGGTCAAGTTCATTTTCAGTAAAGCAGGGTAAGTTATAACCCTACTTTACCAAAGTTGGTGTGACAGGAATTTAGCTTCTGTGTAAGAGGCGCTACAGAACTATATTCGAGCGTGTTTAAACCAAGTGCCGACTAGACCCTGTTAGTTTCATAAAATAAAGTTGAGAATAAACTGCCGGTGTATATTACCCGCCATTCCATTGTATCTTATTATTAATACTTATTGTGAAAGACATTTTTTTATTCTATATTTATTTCATTTTTGTTTATAACCAGGAAATAGGAAATAAGTATTCTATAATACACGGAATTTTTGTTTGTTTTAACGAACCGAACCCTTCTTTCTATTTTAATTCAATAAAACATTTGTTCTTTCTACACTGCGGTTATTTATTGAACCTATTACACAAGATTGGAATTCGTTCAAGTAAAATGTCTATTTAGGACAGCAGAACAACAGCTGCTCTTGGAAGATCACGTCAGCAAACCCCAACACGGTGTTTTTTACAGGAACATAGAAGATCTTAATCTATCTAGGGAATTAACTTCCTCCTTTCTTCTAGACCTGAAGTCTAAGACAGAAGGATTCTTGTTAGCTTGTCAGGATGGCGTAATTAATACTCTCGTATACTGCGCTCATTTTACGCATGTGGCGGATGTCAGATGCAGATTGCAGAACATGCCAACAATACCTGGAGATAGTAATGCATCTTTTGTCCGCTTGCCCGGTACAAGCTGTGTCTGGGTATATCTATAGGCACAACGCCGCATTGCTAGTTCTCTACTATCGTCTGAGACATCACTACATAAATAGATGAGACACCAGTTCTGCCATACGCCCCAGACGAAATTCAAGTGGTAATGGAAAATAACAGTTGCCGTATTTATTGGAATTACGCTTTTCCCACAACAACCAGACTCCAAGCTAACAAGCTCGATTTGGTGCTGTTGGACAAGCAGAGTCATTCAATGTTTGTGATTGAGTTTTCTGCACCAGCTGAAAGCAACATTCTTATTAAGGAGAGGGAAAAGCGTGCCAAATACATTCCACTGATTGGCGAGTTGCAAAGAATGTATCCACAATATAATGTACGAATGGTAGTCCTAATTGTGGGTATTTTAGGGGGAATCAAGGACACTATGCTCAAGGAGCTACAAAAAATATCGGCTTGCCGAGACTCATCAAGACTAGTGGAGAATATGCAGAAAGTGGTAGTCCTTGGGTCCCTTCGTCTTTTGAGACAATTGCATTTGACCGAAGATCACTGACGTAGCGGTGTATAAGGAGTGATCTTCTCAGCGACCAGGTCTTTCGCGTAATGTACTGGGTGTGTCGGAGTCCCAGGAACGTTACGATTAATTTTTTTACACATAATAATAATAATAATAATAATAATTTTTTGGTTGAATAATTTGTTCAATTTGTACTAAATAGTCAGACAGTTTTGCGCATTGAATGGAGTTGAAAACAATAGCTTGTTCATTAGTTAGACATTGTTCTTAACTTGCAGCTACAGAGTAAGATTGAATTGTATTGTTAAATACGTGTAGTTGATCACAAATTATTAAATGGTATTGTGCTATCCATAGCTATGCTTCAAATAAATAATTTTAATTTAAATTTTGTTTGAGACATCTGAATACTATCCTGTTAATTCAGCAATATTGTCCACTGTGTAGGATTTTTTATGATTCTTATCTTATTCGCAATGGTGAAATTGTTTGTTTATGACAGTTTAATGGCTAAATGAACTAAATTTTTACTCACAAATTTAACATAAGGGATGTTGATTAGTAAACACCACTATAAATATCACTTTAATAAATTAAATTCTTCGGTTTTACTCCTAAATTCAATAAAATTGCGTAGCTGATAGCTTATACGTGTACTTATATCACATATCGAATACTCTAATCTAATATTTCTCTTTAATAAATAATTTTGAAGTTATTTGTACCTATGTAGTTTGATGTTTTTTCTTTTATTATCCAAGTTAACATTGACTTTGAATATAAACTCCTTTTTTCATGAATAACGTAGATATAGGCAACACATTATACACCACTTATGGCAAATTCTCAGTTTTCATATATATTTCCCAAAATAATGTGATCGTAGAAAAAATCTTCTGTGCATTTTAAGCGAAAGGTTTGTGCCGCTTTCGACAAACTTTTTGTCTCAAGCGACAAAGTATAACATTTCGCTCTTAATACACAAATAGCTATTGTTAATTTCATTTAATGTCAGTTTTTATTTAAGAAAAACTGCAGTGTTACTTGTTTTTGAGAAAACAAAAATATCAAACAACATATATTTTTGAAAAGAAAAATGAATATCTCTTTTGAATGCTATCAAAACATGCAATTCATAATATAAGTACTTTTTTTTTTTTTAATTTGGTGTCATCGGCGTCGACTACTACGTCCATTAGCCTCGTGTTCTGTGTAGGCTTTGTTACTGTTTCTCAGCGCCACTTTAAGAACAGCACTGTTAATTAGAACCCAACAGTGAATGAATGGTCGAGTGGGGAATCCTACCAAGGCATCAGAATTAATTTTAAATAATTAAATTAAATAAAAAAATCCCGGCCAACGGTGGGATTCGAACCTGAGACTTTCGGATCTCAAAGTCATGACTCTAACCACTGAGCCAACCCACCCCCTATAAGTTCTTAAATGGTTTATAATTTATAAATTTTTAATTAGAATCTCTATAATTCAGGTGCTAGTATTCGATTAGTACCTACCTATAGCTATCATTTAATTGAAGAATAATATCTTTCTTTATTTAGCTGAATTTACTACAGATTAGATTTTATGCAGTTACATAAAGATTAAACAAAATAATATAAATGTATAATTGGTTGCATAACTTCAAATTTCATGACTGCTTATTTTATATTCTATAAACGTCCTTGTCCTTAACCTAACAATGATCTAACATAATAAAATGTCATAGTAAATGCTCATCAAAGAATCATAATTTATGTAATTATTAACACAATTTTGTTAAGTGTTTGCCAATTAATTATTTATAGGAATATCTATGGATTAGGTACTTAATTTCTGTTTGCTTGAAAATTGCCAATCTAATACCGGAAAACAAAAAAATGTCTCTTGGACCAATACATGTAATCAGGCAAAAAAATATATGTTCTGCTGCTGTGATATTTTTACATGGATCAGGTAAATATTATATATTTATTAAATAAACATTCATATTTAGTATATAGGTACGCATGTTAACCTGAACATATACATAACCTAAACTAATTAAAAAAGGAACAATGATATAGCAACCTAAGGATAAGTCATTTGTAACTTTTTGCCAGTATTTTTGATATACAAAATTGAGATCGGTAGGCGTGTCTTCACACTCACTAAATTGGCGTATAAGCAGATCCGGATTAACGCGTTTTTACTTCTACTATTTATGATTAAGAAAATCTTTATGATTCGAAAACATTAATTGCCTTTACAGATATTGTTTACTATTAACTTTTTTTATTAAAATAAAAGTTATAAGCATGTTTGAAAGAAAATCGTATTAATTTAAGTCTAACAATAATTGTTTTTTTTTATAACCGGCATTTTCTTTCGCCGATATACATTTTGTTAATCTTCTCACATTAAAAGAGAAAAAACAATAAGATATATACTTAGTGTAATAAGTTTATTTTAAATCTACTTTATACATATTTATAAATGCAAATATGTAGAAAGTTTCCAGATTCCAGAGCTTGTTTTTACAAAAAATAGTATGGTACAATTTTTAAATCATCGTATTTCATTCTCTTCTGAAAAATATAAGAAAGATGCATATCAGACTTCCAAAAAACTAAATTTGGTTCATCCTAAAGTGAAAACTATAGGTGAGTCAAATTAAAATTTCTCGCGAACTGTCGCTCGAAGAATGTAACCTACATAACCTTAATATTGGCTAAAGTGGTGTTTCATATTGTGTATTGTGATTATTTAGTGTTTGGAAATTTTATCTGAACCATTGTCTCTGTTGTTTTCGTAAATATGAATATTGGACTTAGTTTGTTAGAAATACTTAAACTGTTTAGAATCGACTTTAGCTTTTAAAAATGTCAATGAAAGCAAACAATTATTAACCGAGCGATTACCTAAAAATAATCGATTTTATTATTTAGAAGAGTCGATTATTTTCGAAGAGTAAACGATTATTTTTGTTTAATAGATTGTTTTAGATTAATTGAAAGATCGACAGACCCAACTTAACTTTTTTCTTAGATTAGAAAACGATTGTTAATTCGAAGTAATACAAGACGTCACTTTAAATTTCTATCTCTTAATGTCAACAAACACGATGAGTTTAATAAAACGTATGTCTCGAATTAGCACGGTTGCAAATTGGCACAAATTTCCTGAAATAACTAGGGCAAAAATAAAAGAGTGTATTGTGTGTGTTTTAGCTTTTAAATACTATAAAAAATTATAGAAAGTCCATAACTTTTAAATATTTATTAAATATCACTTATTAAAATATTATGCATTAAAAGTAAAACAAACTATAGACTTTCCACCATTCTTTAGCGTACTCTGAACCCATTTTTAAAAACAATTTCTCAAAATATAATTCAGAGCTATATTTTTTGTGATGAAAAAGTCGCTGTCACTTATCATTGACAACGCGTTGAACTTGCCCTTAAGACCAAACTCAATAGACATTTTCATCATGTGATGAGCGCAAGCGCAGCCACCATGTTGAAATAGCGGTAATTCAAAAGTTTCGTACTGTTCTGATCGACAATGGCTGGGAAAGCAATGTTATCTCTACAGAAAAATTAATCATTAGAAAAAATCGTTGATAGTGAACAACTTTTTTATAACTCTGTGGAAGCGCATAGTTGTGAGCAGTTGAAAAGGAGGTTGAAGTGTCTTGGATGTTTGTTACAAAGGAACAAAGTGGACTAATTGAGAGGTTAGGTGTATCAATACTTTTTAACTCTGTAAAAAATTAATGAAAACAAATAATAATTATAACTTTATTCTAATTAATTATACCAACCAACTATTACTACTTGCAAAAACACTTTAATTAGCATGAAAGTTAATCACGAGTATAATTAATAAAATAAATTATTTATTATTTTGAGGATCAACATGACGTTTTTAATCATTTAATGTGTATACCGAAGTAGTATTTAATATTAAAAAAATATTGTTTAATACCAGGTGAGAATTTTCTTCTGTTGGACCACTTTCTCCATGAAAATGCAGTGAAATATAAGTATCTTTAGTAACATCATTAATTTATTTATTGTTTCGGCCTTTACTTGATGAAAATCCATTTAATTTTGAAAGAGTAAAACCAAATTTTGTTTTACTCTTTCAAAAAAAAAAACATCATTAATCCATCGAAAGCCGTTGTCACTTCGACCATATTTTTTCACACTTAATGCACATTTCAAATATCTTTTAATATGGATTTTGCCTGATAATTGTTTACGATATTGCAGTTAAGGCTTTGGAAAATTTATAAAATAATATCTATTGCCTTTGAATGATTTATACCGTGTGTCACTTTTACATAACAACACTGTTTCGTTGTTCCTTTCCGTACAGATAACATAATTATAATTGATTGTGAAAATGTATTTTTCAATTAAGACACTAAACTTATTATTACTTTACTTTTTTCTTCCTTTTTTTAAATGAATATAAACTTAAATTAATATTTATCAATTATAATTTTTTTCACGTAAGCATTTTAACATACTTGTTTACAAAAACAGTACGAAAAAGATGGCTGAAACTGACGCATGCGCACAAAAAAAAATTGTGATGAAAAGGTCTATTATGTCTATTATGCCAACGACCTGTCAAAATGTTGACGAGTGGGAACTGACAGTTTAGATATGGCAACCCTATGGACCTGTTGCACATACTTTGATTACATTACTATACGGTGCAAGAGAGAGGTCCGACACGCCCAACATAGGGCACGGCCATTTTGATTCCTATGTCACAGTTTATAGCTAAAGAATCAGATCGCTCACTCTGCGTCGGCACTTTTGATCTCAATGTTCCAGTTTATACACTGCGCAACTCGGATCATACAATATATGACAACCGCCTATAATAAAACAGCAGTCTTCTGCGTATCCTGAATTTGTATCCCTGGAGTGGATGTTATTTTGGAACTTTCAACTGGTCCGAGTGAGCTAACTGATTCTTTAGCAATAAACTGTGACTCCAAAAATAATATTCACTGACACTGACAGCAGCAAGCAAAATATCAGGTGCGTTTTAATCATCCGCTTCTGCTTTCAAAATTGTCGGTTTAGTCGTTTTTACCTGTCAGATTAAAACAAGAAAACCGATAATTCCGAAGCAGAAGCGGATGATTAAAACGTACCTATTAAAAATATTGCGCAAAGATGTAGGCAACACGTAATAAGGGATCAAAATGGCGGAGTTTTCTATCTCCTTTTAAAAGGCACTCAGAAAGCTGCGCAGTGCGACCATTCTCTGTATAGTAAAAGAAAATCAAAATATGTGACCTGTTGTCATTGACAGGGTCAATGATTCATATATAGTTATAGGGGTCGTTTGCGAGTGGCCATATTGCCTCTAAAGTGCTCATTATTCAGAATCGGTTTTCTAAAAATGTGGTTACAAACCAATTTTAAGCCTTTGAATATAATAAAAAAATAATTACTTATATTTTTATTTTAATGCATTTGTTTTGAAAACGCTGTTGCTACGCTAAAGTGTACACAAATCAAAAAATTATATACACGCGAAATGTCATATTGCTGTGGTGGGAGTTGTTTGTGTGGATGCGTCTTGTTTGTTTTCATTTACGCTGTGACTAGCAGTAGTCTTTTATAAACCATAGAAGCAAATTTCACATACATGAACAAATAATAATAATGTCGTGACAACAAGAAGACAAAGCAATGACATCTCGTAGGGTGGCGCCACCAGAAAGTTTCAATCCATATCTAGCTACGCCGACCGGCATAAACACCGACGACCTAGACACAGATCACCTACTCTGTCAAGACGTTTCACGTGTATTTAACTTTTTGAATTGCATACAAGTTAGCGTGTACCTAGACACTGTGTTTTGAAAAACATGGATGATCAATCTATATAATTATCTATTTCATTGACTCTTTCAAAACTCCAGGCATACAGGGTTGCCATAATGGTGCTATATTATAACCTGTCAAAACCCACTGGTAGCCATTTTGTTTGGAATGCCTAATTTGGTTCACGATAATCACTATTTTTTTAGGTTAGAAAATTTCGCATTATAGATTTTTCATTTAAAGTAGTACGCAGATATATTTCATAATGTCAACAAATACGTAATATCTATGAGTTTAATAAAACATGTCTCTAATGAATATATGGCGGCAACTAACGGCAACACTGTCAGCTACTAAAGTACATACAGGTGCGGTATAAGCCATATGAATAGAAATTAATAATTAAAATGTATTGGTTTTAAAGTTACCTTAAGATACTTTTTTATTGATCTTGTACTGATTTTATAATACTCTTAACGTAGGCTATTTTAAAACCAATTTGCTATTTTAAAAGATTAAATAGCAAGTTGGTTTTAAAATAATCCATTTTAGAACAAATAGTTTTAATGTAGTTTCATGGATGTATTCATTAAAATCCATTATAGGCTGATTCCACTGTTATGTTAAACAAAGTTTAAATTACTAAACGAAGAATAAAATGACATTTTTACATGAACATTGTCATTTTAATCGTCGTTTGACAAAACGGTGTAATCAGCCCTAAAAAACCTATTTTATCTCAAGCATAAATACTTACACAAAATCCTATATTGAATGCAAAAACATAGTTTTTACCTTTTAAAGAGTACATTAAGACTATTTTAAAGCTTAAAGGTTTTAATTTAGTCAATTTGATTAAAAGAAATGCCTTTTGGATTTTTGACGAGTTTATTAAAACTAATTCTATCCCTTCCACATTCGAGAAAACGTCATCTTCTGAATAAGCTAATTTAATGATCCAGTGCAGTCCGCGTGTACGTACTTTATACGTAAAAGAAAAATAAAACATATTTTAAATGGAAAATATTATCAACAAGTATTTTAAATTAACACTAAGTGAAAATTGTGAATTTATTGTTGATAAATCGCAAATCGAAAATCGAAAAAATCAGTGTACTGAAAAATAAGTGGTTGAATTAATTTGAAAATTCCAAATCTCAAAAATCCCCCTACGAATTATCAAGACCTTCCCCGGATTCCAAAGTGGAAAACAAATACTTGTAGATTTAAAAAACTAGGTGGTAAATTAAAAAAAAAGGTAAGATCAGAAATAAATAAAATTTTTGAGGTTAGGATTTCATTCGTGCGCAAGACCACTTTAAATCAATCAAGGCCACGAGTGTTACTTAGAAACTTGTTTCGTTAGCTAGTAGATTCAAAGGTCCCGCGCTTTTTGGGCGCACGAGTAATTCGAAATTGTTGAATAACCTTTAGCTACGTTTGAAAAGTACCTCGTTTTGCTTTTTTTTACCCGATACAGTTCTTTTGATGCGTCCAAACTCCGTTTGTTTCATTGATATGATTTGCTCGATGTAGTGACCAAAAAACATTTCAAACGTAGCAGGTGTATTGCATAATGTTTATTTTTTTGCAGGTGATACAGGACAAGGAGTACTAGATTGGTTAAAATTTCTCGTAGGTGATTTTGCCTTGCCGCATATTAAATTTTACTTTCCAACAGCTCCGCTTATACCATACACGCCGTCAAATGGAGAAGTAAGATGTGAACTTAAATATTAGCTTTACAAAACAAATTTTATTTTTTGAAATTTATTTTAGCTGAGTAATGTTTGGTTTGACAGGTATGACATTACACCTGAAGTCCCTGAACACGAAGAAAGTTTGAATGTAATTAGCCAGGAAATACAAGGATTGATAAAAACGATTCGTAAGGATGATAATCTTCCTCTTCATAAAATTGTTGTAGGTATGAAACATTGATAATATTTATGTGAACAGCTCGATATCTTAACTAAAACAGCCTATTTATCAAAGGCGTGCCTGTGAAATTGGGGAGAAGGGAAGTAATTATCAAAAACTTACATATTTATAGTGTAATTGAATTCTTCCCTCAGTTTTTGTAAATTCGTCTATAACTTCATTATTAGCATCAATATTTTTAACAAGTTCACATACAATGGCACATAATGCATCAGCCGTTCTATCTTCTGATAAGTTAATAAAACCTAAACATCTTACCTGTATATTCCCGTCTACATTTACAAATCGCGCCACGGCAAAAAGCTGACTAAAATTTTTAACATCAGTCGATTCATCTAAGATAATAGTAACAAAATTTATTTGTTTGAATTCATCATTCATTTTGTTTTAATTTACAGTTGAAATAGCAGAAATTAAATCGCTTTGGATTCGATTTGATGTATCTTGAAACACACCAGGGGCCCAATTCTCGAAACATGCGTTAACTGCCGCATACGCCAAGTAACGCATGGTCGTTAACGCATACGACAGCAATTTAGTATTCCTGAACACCATGCGATAATCGCGAATCAAGTCGAACGTGTTAACGAAGAGTCTTTGATTATTGCATAGTCTTAACCAATGAGGATTGAGAATACCAAAGATGGTATCACTGAATATGAGATAATTGCATTGACATATGTCAAAATTGCCAAAAATGCAAAAATTATAAAATTAAATGGATTGCAGATGTCTAATAATTTTTGGTTTTTGGATGTTTTAACTGTGATTATTTGAATTTTGGACTTTTAGAATATTAAAAATGGAACAGCGTGGTTCACGAATAACGGAAAAACAGCGTGAAACTTTAGTAGAATTTATAACATTGTTTAGTGCCTGTAAAACTCCTATGATAAAGCAGGATTAATTGACAATTATAACAGAGACAACCACATACAAAAGAAAATCAAAGTATGTGGAGACAACCCTCTGATTATAACCTTACTTTCACCTTAACGAATGCGACAAAGTGGTTGTCGAACGGTCATGAGCGCTCTTTGAAAATCACCATTTTTTAGCGCATGCGTTAATAAATTTGACGAATGCCGCCAGTTCAGGAATACACTTTCATCAAGTCGCATACGTTATCGCATGCGATAAGTTAACGAAGGCGTCAGGAATTGGGCCCCAGAAAACAAGAAAGTAGAAGTAGTGTTTGGAGATCTCTGATGATCGAATCAAACGCACCACAAATATCCAATGAACTGGAGTGGGGTAGAATGCTTGTCAATATGCTTGAGATGCGACTCTATGGGCAAAGACAGGTTATTTTTCATCTCACTCGGGAGTATTTATAACAACCATTTTCTATTTCACTTTGTTATTGTCTGATCCACCAGCTTGTGGATTGAACAATAACAAAGTGAAACAGAAAATGGTTATTATAAATACTTCCGAGTGAGATGAGAAATAAAAATGGCTGCGCCCATAGAGTCGCATATTGTTCTATTGATACAATATGCACATTGGCTTTCTACCCCACTCCAGTTCATTGCACATCGAATGGCATGTGTCAGCTGTCAAAGTCATTAAACTATTCCCAGTCCGATCGTTTACGTTAGGTTCTTTCGTTCGCTGTTGGTGCAGTGTGCACCAGTGTCAATTATACCACCTTATTTACCTAGTTTACTTCCTTTTTTCGTGTATTAAGAGCGGAAAGTGCTACTTTGCCGCTTAAGATAAAAAGTTGCCGCGCGACGCGAAACGGAGTGCGGCATTTTATCGCAAGCGGCAAATAGCTTTTCGCTCGAATTACACACAATATTTTTTTCTACGACCACACGATATTAAAAGTATATAGTTTTATTTTGCCAAATTCAAATCTTACTACATTAATTTGACAGACACGGCTAACTTGACTAGCAAACGAAAAGTATGTTATGTATATTGTATTGCCTGCTTAGTATCAAATTATAATCCAGTTGCGTTCTCCATATAGATTTGTTTATGCCACACTTTTACTATTCATTATAATTTAAAATTTGTATACAATATCGTCTGGTACAGAAAATGTTTTTGTCTTATATTTTAGGTGGATTCTCTATGGGTGGCGCCCTAGCACTTCATACGGCTTATAGATTCTCTCCAGGATTGGCTGGAGCCTTTACACTATCATCTTTTTTAAATACTGATTCAGCAGTATATAAACAAGGACAAGCTTTTGATACACCTCTTTTTATGTGTCACGGAGATCGGGATACAATGGTGCCACTTTCTTGGGGTCACAAAACGCACGAAAATTTGAAAAAATTAGGGATCGATGCTGAATTTCATGTCATCAAAAATACGATGCACGAAATGAAGAAACATGAAATATTAAATCTTTTTCAATGGATTCAAAAAATTTTATCTGAAAAGAGACAAACTGATTCACAGTGAAGTGAAATATTATATAGCTAATATGTACAATGTGTGAACAATTTAAAAAAGTAAAGTTCCTTTTTAGTTAAAGTAGTCTTAATATGCAAATTTAATACCAAAAGTTACTTTTCTCTTAGAAAATTGAACTGTTTTCTGTGTCTATTAATTTCGAATAAAATGTGTGGTAAAAAGATATAAAAAAAAGACGAGCAAATAAGAATTTAAACACTTATGATTTATAAAACATACACTGTTCCTGTCGCATACCTAGAATTTAACCATTGTCACTTCTAACCTTTTAAAATGCAAGCAAGATCACAAAACTATCTTTTATCTCCCTCTTAGCATAATGTATCTCAACAAACAATGAATTTCCGAGATATCGCTGGCCTTTTGCTGCAATTAAAGGACAAATGAATGCAGAAATTAAAAGATAGAAACCTACTTTTGGCCTTTGAAAAGTGGCCCAGCGTTATACTGGTTATATACAGGGTATAACTTAATAATACGCCGTAATATTAAGTGCGCATTTCTGAATCAAATTCAAGTATATTCCTAAAAGTTCATATAACCATGTATCCTAAAAAGTCTTGTTTTTAAGATACAGGGTGTCAAAGTTTAAAAAAAATAATTTTTTAATATCTCAAAGATCTTTAGTTAGTGCTAAATTAGCGTCTTATCACAATGAACATCACTGCAAAATTTTAACAATATCGGCAAATGGATAATTGTAATATTAATAAAATATCAATTTTTTTCTTAAACTGTGACACCCTGTATCTTGAAATCCAGTCTTCTCATTGTTACCGTAATGATTTTTAGTAGAATAATTCTCAGAACTAAAACACAAACATTTATAAAATCTGTTTTTAATACACGACAGTTCAATAACATAATTAAAAAAATGTAAATTTTAAATGAGAAATTTCGATTCATTTTTTAATATATATACACAATGTTGTTTTTTTATGTAACAATAAACCATACGATTCAACTAGAGTGCCAGGAATATTAGAATGTCAATATAGGTCCCTCTCTGTGATCCAAAATATCTGAAACAAAGAATAATTTTAATAAAAAAATACAACAAAATAAAATTGAAAGAAATTAATAAACAAAAACAAAATAGTTATTTCGGTACGCGACAACTCGGCGATGCAAAGCCGGCGACGGTCAACTCGGCGATGCCAAGTCGGCGATGGCCAACTCGACGATGGTAAACTCGGCGACGATCAACTCGGCGAAAAGGAATACAATAATATAATATGCAATTATTTATTATAATACAATTATTTATTATAATACAATATAATATACAATCTATAAAAAAAATTGATTAGAGAACTTGATTAATAAAATAAAAATATATAAGAGATTTTAAAAGTGACAATAAAATCAATTAAGGGTTTTAACTACAATTAGGGAAAATTTAGAGCTTAAGATTTTTCAATGCAAAATAAAAATAAGATATAATATATTAAAATATTAGGTTATGAAATAAAAAAATTAAGTAACATATTATATGCTGAAACGGAATTAAAAAATAAAAACTGAAATAAAAAAAGGTTGATTATAGAATATTGTTATTTATTATAATACACATTACAATTATTTATAATACATATATTTATTGTAATACAATATAATATAAAAAAACTAATTCATGTTGTAATTATGTGATATCCCTCTGAGATACTCGATCAAATTTTGCCTGTTATAATTGGCCACTTTATTTAATATCGTACGAAGACTGTATCTTCTTTAAATTATCTATGAATGTCCATAACGAAGGATGAGCAATACCAGAACCAAAAGCCAGTTGCAACTTGCGATGACATGCTTCTGCAAAATTATTTGTCCTATCTCGTCCATTCAATGTTCGAAAATAAACGGACCAAACTGTTGATGGAAAAGTTGCTGGCACTCTGGTTCCATTATTCCTAAGTCGACCAATATAATTGCTGGTAAACCATTCTAAAATTGGTTCTAATATTTCTGGCAACTCATTTTCCAATTCGGCAATGGCCTCAATCACATCCTCTTCTGGGACAAATGCCAATGATGTTACCATTTTTTGCTTGTAGTGCAAATTCGGGATCAGTATTGTACATTCCTAGGAGGTTGCAAGAAGATAAATGCTTTCGAAGATTTTTGACCAAGTGGAATAAGCATCCTCTAATTTCGGCTTCTGGGAAAACTTGTCTTACGGCCTGGTGAATTGCCAACTCAAAGTCGACACTGATGCTTTCCGGATTTAATTGCGACCAAAGAACTTTTATCATGTTAAACACATTGAGATATGTTTCTGCACTTTTATTGGGCAGCAAGCAATATAGTACAGGAAAAACTGGATCCATCTCTTCATGCGTATCTTTTCTTGCCAGAACAACAAATATTTGAGCAAAAAGTGGAGGACACAATAAGAAATGTGCCGTCAACAAATAATTCTTTCATGTTTGCACTCCATGTTGCATGGTATTCTCTACCAAATATTAGAATTCGATGTGGATCCACTTGATCTCTTCCGGAATCTGCCAGCAAAAAATTCTCAAAGTGAGTAGGGCTGTAATAATATTGCGAGTACACTTCTGGGATGATAATTTCACTAAGAGTTTCTGGATTGGCGGGTGCTTTGCACATGGTTACTCTTACTCTTTGAATGTTTCTCCGCATAACACTGGAACTTGGAAGCATTCCTTTAACCGCAGCTGGTACATTCTCCAAAACTCGTCCTCTGATTTGGGCAGGATTCTCCATCGTTGTCGCGGCCAGGTGCTTCACAGTGGTATTCATTTTTTGCAGAACAACATTTGCTGCATTTCCTACCGTACTACATGTGTGTTAATTTCGTATACATTTGAAAGAACCATCCATAATATTGGTCCATATTCTTCCTTTGCATCTTTCATGCTTGTTTTTACAGCGCCAGAATTGAATGGTGTTTGTCCTTGTTCGTTTTATCCTTCGTGTATAGGTAGCCATCCCAGTAGTACTTTTCGTGACCCCTTTGGCTAAGAACTTTATTTTCCATCTTAAGTCTCAGTAAATAAAAAACTCACACAGACAAACAAAATTACACACAATGTCTTTACTTCTGAGATGAGTTCGGAATATTAAGGAAAGTGAATATCACAGTCTTTTAAAGGATGTAGGTACAAGTAAGCAGGTAATTATCAGGTAATCTTATTTTTATTTTGTTTTGAAAAATCTTAAGCCCTTAAGCAGGCAATTATAAGGTAATCTTATTTTTATTTTGCTTTGAAAAATCTTAAGCCCTTAATATTTATTTGCTTTCTAATACTAGGTATTAAAAACCCTTAATTGATTTTATTGCCACCTTAATTTTGTAATTCCAAACAACTCTGGCCATTAAATTTTAATTTCTTAATCAAGAAGTTTCTTTTTCAGATTCTTAGTTTTCATATTTAATATATTTTTTCCTGTATATGTTGATTTACTTTAGTAATAATAACTTTTTCCAGTTTCTTATTTAAAATCTCTTATATATTTTTATTTTATTAATCAAATTCTCCAATCAAATTTTTTTTATAGGTTGTATCTTATTTTGTATTATAATAAATAATTGAATAATATATTATTGTATTCCTTTTCGCCGAGTTGATCGTCGCCGAGTTTACCATCGCCGAGATGACCATCGCCGACTCGGCATCGCCGAGTAGACCGTCGCCGACTTTACATCGCCGAGTTGACCTGCTCCGTAGTTATTTATGTATCAAGGTCGTTAAACAGGCGTTTATGGACCGCACTATATGTGTTATTGGCTAACATATTGGTATCGTTGTATAGGCAAATTTATAAGGAATTTTTTGCTAAAATAATATACAGGATGTTGCATTTGAAAAAATTGAGTAAATTGAACTTAAAATTAGCTACATTCTTTATTTAAAAAAAAATTAATTGCTTGGCAACACTGTAATATTAATTCAAAACTATCTAGGGTTAAATATAGTATTATCAAACATTCCTAAAAATAAAATAGCTGGTGTTCTATTTAAAAAACATACATTTTTATTTGCATAGTCAAAATAAGAAAAAAATTGTGGGACCTCGCTCTGCAAATATTCACTCGTTACATAAAATAAGGCATTTCGCAACTGGTTTCATAAATAGCTAAGTTAAAAATGACAAGCTCAACAACATACTTGTACAAGTAATATTATATGTCTAGATCTTCGCTGGTTGACATATCGATTACCACTTTCTCTATAAATTGATAAAAAATTATTTAAAAGGTTAGGAACATACCTTTCGCTATACTCCACCACGGCAGTGTAATATAAGTTAAAAAAGCATTCAATGGGATGGATTGTGCTCTTTTGTTTTCTTTCCAAAAATGAAAAGTTTGAGTAAAACCACGCATCGTCCATAATGGATTGTAAGCACCATCATCCAACTCTGAAATAAAAAATATAAATGTTTAAAATGTTATTATAATCCATCATAATAATTAAATTAAATTCGTTATCATCATATCAACGTTTTCCAGGTGGTATTTTTTTTCTTCACTTATAATATATAGTAACCACATTGCTAATACCTACTGAGTTATATATAAGTATAATTATATATTTATAAGTTTATGTGTCAGAGACTGCTAGGCTTCAAATCCCAGACTAGACCATGTGGATTTTTAATTAAATTGCATGGTTCGGTATAGGATTTGATGTGTGTCGTATTAAAAGAAATTCAATTTCTGTTGATATGACATGCAGATTATAAAAAATCGCCATACATTACCGTCTCGATGATGGTTGGTGAGGTTTTCCTCATCTGTAAGTCAAATGGCACCATCAATCATCTTTAAGTCGCCCCGGAGCGCCACGGCAAATACTAATAATAGCCGTCCCTTTCCCCGCACAAGCTCAGCTTTTGGGGTTAAAATTCAGTCGTAAGGGGGTGAATTAGGGAGAGTATTATTATATAGTGGTGCCCAACTTCTTTTTCAAAGTTATTCGAGTTATTTAATAACCTAACCCACGCCCAATTAATTGAGCTCAATCACATTATACAAGTAGATAGAATAACTAGACATCACGTTACAAGGTTGCGGCCAGCACGCATAGGCGTTTCACAAAAAAATTCGTTTCTCAGAAACCATTACCAATAAAGAATTTTTGTTTTCTCCAAAAATTTTTATCCGTTCACAAATTTGCTCGATGCTGAAATTTTCACCTCTGTTTTGGTAATGCTCCTCCTTTTAAATAATCTGATAAATTTTGTATGTATACAATTTTGAAAAAATATTGAATAACGGCGTTACAATCGCGAGTTAAACATAGTACATATTTTTTAAAAAGTATATCGAATTTCGGGGTGCTGATTTCTGACTAAGCAGAGTTGAATGTCCTACAGCTTTTTTCCAATTGTGAAGTTAAAAAAATTCCTATATGGATTCAACTTTATAGAACACACTGTATAAATAGTGTAGATTGAATTCAAAATTTAAAATTCAATTTAAAATTTACTGTTTTACCCAGATAGCACACGTCGTCTGAAAGACGTCTTTTTTGTGTCTTGGTTTGGTCTCAATGTCCTAGGACGTTATTAAGACGTCTTATAAGACGTTTGTCAAAAGCCATAATTCAGACGTATTAATGTGAGAGCTCAAAGACGTTTTTAAGACTTCTTAAAGACGTCTTTCCAAATCCATATATTAATGTGAAAGCTCAAAGACGTCTTTAACGCCCGTATACGTACACGTACACGTTTAATCCAGATCAAGGGTTTAATCACGTTTAGTACCATTTTTAGCTATGGTACTAAACGCGATTAAACCCTTGATCAGGATTAAACATGTACGGTGCATGCGGGCGTTAGACGTCTTACAAACGTCTTTCAGTCGGACGGAAACTTGCACGGTTTATATAATTCAACTTTAAAAGAAGAATTAAATGAAGTGAGGTTTGAAGTTTGACTTAACACTACATTCAAGCTTATTGTGAATTATTGATTATTCTATTGCGTACGCGATTATAACCGCCAAAAGTGTGTTTGGGCTACTTTGTGCATTTGTGTTTGGTCTCTTTTTACTTAAATAATATGGGACTAAAAGCAGAGAAGGAAGAATGTTACCGATGTATCACGTTCCTGGAATACTTTCTACAGGTAATAAATGAATATTTGTTTATATACATAAACATTAATATCCTGTTTCTTCTAAATAAGAATAATTAAATGAATTAAAGAGTAAACATCTTAATATAAGATTTAATTCAGTTATTCGTCAATTTCCCTTTTTTAAATTTTTTGGAGATTTCGAGAACTATTGATATCAAAAGCCACATGTTAGATAGCCATTTTGAGTAAAGTTAAAAATTGTCAAAATAGGCGATTAAGTATAATAGCTCATCTTTTTTTAAATGATTTGTTATAAAAATTGATTTAAAATTGTAAGAAATTAATTTTTTGTTTCGTTTCATAATTGTTCTTTCGGTTTTTACTAACTTTTACAAAGTATAACTTCCTGTGACTATGATGCTCTTACCTACATTTCTTTTTAGAAGCGACTATACAAAGGCAACTTCAAATCAAAAAGAAAGAAAAAATCAATCCAGTTATGGCTAAAGAGGAGTGATCGAATGCGCTATAAAGAAAATAACTCTTAGTGACCTGTGATTAATAGATATTTTATCAATAAATATTTTTAATTCTATTTTTTGCATTCTTTATAACCTGCAAGGTTATTCTACTAATTTTAATAACCAAGATGCACGATAAATTATTTTATATTATTATAAACAGGTTATAGAATTATTAGAATAAAAATAATGAACGTGTTATTTATGGCTTATTTAAGTTTAACCAGACCATTATAAGCCATTAATAAAACATCTTAAAGATGTATAATATATGGCTTCACAAGACCATTATAAGCTATTAATAAGTCGTCTTAAAGACGTCTTATTTATGGCTTATTTAAAGCTTCACAAGACCATTATAAGCCATTTATGAGACGTCTTATTTATGGCTTATTTAAAGCTTCACAATACCATTATAAGCCATTAATAAGACGTCTTAAAGACGTCTTATTTATGACTTATTTAAGGCTTCATAAGACCATTACAAGCTATTAATAAGTCGTCTTAAAGACGTCTTATTTATGGCTTATTTTAAGCTCTACAGACCAATATAAGCCATTAATAAGACGTCTTAAAGACGTCGCTTTTTGTAACATCAGACGTCTTCTAAGACGTCTCGAATGTCTTATGCTAGACGTCTTAAAGACGTCTTTAAGACGACTTTGTGCTATCTGGGTATAGTAGTTATATAGATTTAACTTAAATAGACCGTAATGAAGAAATATGAAGTAAAGTACAAAATTTGATTTTTTAAAAGTATTTTTGTAGGAAATAAAAAGGGTTCGAATAAATTATGAAAATTTTAGTCTTTAATTCATTATTCTTTTTGATTGGATGAGCTGTGCTAATATATTTGATAACTTGATTCTATGAAATCGAAATTAATTATTTTTTTTATCAAATTTTCTTTAGGTATTATTAAATACAGATTGTGCAATATCTTACCATAATCTTTTTTATTTAGATCACACCAATAATATATATGAGTACCATCAGGAGTCACTCTTTTTGGAGGTACGATATGTCTGGAAAAATTCTTTTGGTCACTGTCCTTTCTTCTACTTTTAGGTAAAGTACAAAAACTGTAAATACTTTTCGTATTCAGACGATTTAAATTTCCATTATTGGTTTCATTTTTGACTCGCTCTTTTATTACTTTATTTGCAGCAAACTCAAGTTTTTCTGATACGTTTTTCGTGTCTGCTTTATTATCTGACATATACTTTATTTCGTGAATACACGGAAGTTCTTCCTTACCACTAACGGTTATATACAAATTTTTGGCATGATCATACTGATAGGAGTTCGATAAAATACATTCCGTATTACTTTTCTTATCGAAACTGATAGCGTCATCGGCTAATTCGTATTCCGCGTAATTAGCATTTTGTTGGGTTTCCTTAATTGTCTTATTTGTCTTGCACATTTTATTTCCAAAGGCACAATCGCTATCAATCGGTCCTAAATGCGATCTTTCCGAACATTTCTGGTGATCGCTACATCTCAAACTGTACATTTCAAGAAGCGCTTCTCGATTTCGTTTTTGAAAACAGCCACAGCATTTCGAATTGGACGTTGAAGCAGAACCAGTCTCATCTACAACAATGAAAATATTTGTTAAAATAAAATATTTTTCAATACAAACACATTTCTTTATAATTTCAACAACAAAAATGTACACTAAAGGCTACGTATTTTATCATTTATAACAATTTTTAATTAGAATAGTGGTTCTTGGAAACTTAATATTTTTGAAAGTTAAAAAGAATAAGTAAATTTATATACTTTTTGTTGCACTGATTCTGCTTTTACATCCAATTCTCTATGTTTTTTACCTTTTTTCCAAATTTTTGAAATTATTATTTATTTATTTATTTACGGGCAAGCCCATTTGAGAAATAAATTACAATTTTAAAATTATACTTAAAATGTAGTGAACTATATATGGTGCTGAAATACAATCGTGCTGAAATACAATCGTGGTATAATTTATTACATATAGGTAAAGAATTTAAAAGATTTAAAAAGACAAAAGACAATAAGGTTAAATAAAATATTTACAATAAACATTAAAAATTAAAGATCAAAGATTAAAGCTCAGTACTAAGTAATTGCTTTATAAATTTATGAAAGGGGGTGTTAAATATCTCAATATCACTATGAGTGTTGGCTAATCCTAACATACTTGAAATACAGCTGCTAAAAGTGTGGTTTAAACGATAAAAAGGTACATAAAATGTTTGTTGCTGTCGAGTTGAGCGCGTTGGAACATGATTTATTTTTGTTAGAAGTTTAGTACAGCTGCATCTATCATAATTTTAAAAAGTAATGCCTGATCTCTCTGTTTCCTCCTAGTTTCCAAAGAGGGGATGTTTAGAAAATTCTCTATCAAATCATACTAGCAAAGGACACCAAATTTATAGGTTATTTATCTAAGAAATTTATGTTGCACATTTTTTATGTTTCTGCTATGCGTTATGTAATGTGGAGACCAGACAGAAGAGCAATAATCTAGATGAGGTTGGACTAGTGAACAATAAAGGAATTTAATTGCAGTTGTGTCAGTAAAATCATGTGTTAGCCTTTTGATAAAACCTAACATTTTCATGGTTAAGTGACTTCGTTTTGACTGTTGGCCGTAGTGACCTATACCCAGATAACACACTAAATCCCAGAGATATCCACAGAATATATTTTATGGATATCCAATATATGCAGTGAATCTAATATGGATATCCAAATGTCTATATCTCAGGTCCCAGGATATAGAAGATATTCGGATATTCAGCAAAATATTGTAAAACTCGTAGGGTATTTTAAAACGTTTATTAACAGTAAATACAAAATTTTAAAAACGAATACGATTGACAACTACAATTCAATCTGACTGACAATTCTTTTTTTTTCGACTACTATATTTACTTCTACTAGTGGCAACTACAATAAACATCTTCCTCCTAGTACCTTCGTAGTACTAGCCGGCTAACTCGTTACACTGCCCCCTTCCTTAGATGCATTCCTCCTGGAATGCTGATATTGTACGACGTGTTGTGGTCGTACCCGCAATCTTCGGTATGGTCCCCTTTAAACGGTGCCAGTCGATCATGATAAACCACCATGGGTTTCCCTCTGGGAACCTTGACAATTCGGTAAATGACGTCATTAATTTTCTTTTTCACGGTGTACGGACCTACCCAGTTCCTTTGTAATTTAGGACATAGACCTCGTTTTCTTCGTGGATTATACAGCCAGACGAAATCTCCCTCCTGGTAGCTGGTCTCTTCTGTTCTTGTGTCATATTGCCTCTTCATGCGATCACTAGCTAACTGCAAATTAGTACGGACTAATTCGTGAATATCTTCCATCTTTTTTCGAAGATCACAGACATAGTCTTCTCCAGCCGTGTCATCATCTGGCTTACAACCAAATACCAAGTCACATGGCAATCTCAAACAAGACTTTTGCAGGTGTCTGGCCTGAAGACTCATTAACTGCCGATCGGAACGCCATCAAAAAGAATGGAATGTGTTGGTCCCAGTCCCATTGATGTTCGGAGACAACTTTTGACAAATATCTAGTAAAAGAGTTCTATTCATTCGTTCCACCATCCCATCAGATTGAGGGCGAAGTGCTGTGGTTCTGGTTTTTAAAATTCCCAGTTTCTTACAAACTTCTTGAAATAGTTCACTTTCAAAGTTCCTTCCTTGGTCCGAATGTAATTCAAGTGGCACTCCAAATCGACTTATGAATTCCTTTACTAGCATGTCGGCTAATGTGGCAGCTTCCTGGTTGGGAACAGCATAAGCTTCTACCCACTTAGAAAAATAGTCCATCACTACGAATATGTATTTATTCCCTGCGTCGCTCTGCGGTAAGGGGCCCAGTATATCCACGGCAATTCTTTCAAATGGGCTTCCTACAATATACTGTTGCATCTCAGCCCTAGGTTTACGATGAGGCCCATTGCTTGATAAACAAGTGGTACATGTTCGACACCAATCCCTGACGTCGTGGGAACAATTTAGGGAGCAGCGTCTCTAATCTGCAGATCCAGCTTCAAACGATCGAAGAACGTGTCTCCCAGCAGTCATCGAGGAGTCAAGAGTGGCAAGGATCTAGTACAGTAGAAATTCTCAAGGGGATAAAACCCCCAACTTATGATGGAAAGACTTCTTTACAAAATTACATGAAACAGTTTAATGCTGCAGCTGGAACTAACGGATGGTCATCGCGGGAGAAAGCCATATCTCTCCCAATAGCTCTGCGTGGTGAAGCATTAGATGTTCTGCAAACACTCCATGCGGATGAAGCTGAAGACTTTGACTTACTGGTGAAATATTTAGAAATGAGATATGGCCATGCTCACCTAGAGCCGGTTTATCAGTCCCATCTCAAGAACCGGAAGCAGAAAGTCAATTCAGGAGTTTGAAGCAGACATTGCAAGAATGGCACGCTTTGCCTATCCGTCGGCCCCAGAGAGTCTTCTAGAATGCTTAGCTGTCCAAGCTTTCGTTGACGGTTTAAGGGACCAAGACTTACAGAGAGCAGTACGTTTAGCTCGTCCAAAACTTTTAGTCGATGCGTTGACAGTAGCGTTGGAGTACGAAGCTGCAACGGAGGCTCCCAGAGGCCCTGCTCGAGTACGAGTAATCACGGACCACAACAACGTCGACACTCAACAAGAGCCATCTGATCCCAAAATCATGGAAGACGTAGTGACTAGCGTCATGAAAATACTGGCCTCCAAGAAGATGTTGGAATTGTGGGGAACTAGGCCACATCAGAAATGCCTGCTCTCGTTGGACAGATAAAAAGTTCCAGCAGCAGGAAAACTAAATTGGGTCGCCTCCCGGGGGGCGACATCGACCCGAACTAGCTTCCAAGACCCTCCCATTCTAATTATAGCATCGTTAAGTCATCTTACCAGCAGTTTGTACGTAGACGGCACAGTCGATGGCAAAGAGTATAAAATGTTGGTAGATACCGGAGCGACGAAAACTATCATTCGGCCAGCAGTCACCACAAAGAAAAAATTGCTACCCTCCAGATGGGTGTTACGGACCGCTACGGGGGAAACAGCCAAGGTCTACGGCTAGGTGGAGTTGAGGATAAAATTTGGTTCCACCTGTGTATCACACATCTCTCTGGTGGCAGACATCGAAGAAGACATTATTTTGGGTATGGACATCATGTATGCCTGTGGGTTTCAACTAGATCTCAAGCGCCGAACCATACACGTTGGAAACGAAGAACTGTTTTTACACCAAAGAGAGACAACCATCGCTGAAGTAACGCTAGCAGAAAACGTCGAAGTCCCAGCAAATTGTGAATTAGTCGCTGCAGCCCGACTAAATAGAGTGATTCTAGATGATATCCCAGCTATGCTAGAGCCTAGTAATCACGACCAGGACTTAGGAAAAGGGGTTCTTGTTAGTAAGGCACTCATCACGTCAGCTCCAAACGTGCCTGTTATCATAATAAATGTTAACGACTATCCCACTTCTGACACCAATTTGTAAAACTCGTAGGGTATTTTAAAACGTTTATTAAGAGTAAATACAAAATTTTAAAAACGAATACGATTGACAACTATAATTCAATCTAACTGACAATTCTTTTTTTTTTCGACTACTATATTTACTTCTACTAGTGGCAACTAAACATCTTCCTCCTAGTACCTTTGTAGTACTAGCCGGCTATCTCGTTACAATATTTTAGGGGTATCTTTAATAGAGGTTCATAAGTAACCAATGATTATTGAATAACGTCGAAATAACAAATATTTTTAACACTCAAATTGATTTTGCCCACTAAGGAGAAAGTCATCCTTATTAGGACTTTTCAGCAATAAATGAAAATTCTCGACTTCAGTCTCTAATATGGAGTCTGATTGGGAAAACATTTGCATGTCTATAAATTACATCTCATGGATATAAAATAGATGTACACCATGGACTGGACATTCAGTAGATATTGGGATGTTAAGTAGATATCCAAAGGATTTGGTGTGCTGTCTGGGTATATGCCGGCCTTTTAATTATAAAAGTTAAATGGCCATCAGTACAATTGGAGGGTAACAGTTACTGGGCCTTTTATTACCCTGCACAAAATGCAATGGAGAAACCAACTGAATAATTTTCTGAGCAAGTAGTGTGAAACTTAGTTTTAATTATCAACTTTATTTTTGTGATATTCATTGTGAGGGCAATGTCGAACCTATCTAAAAAAAGTTAAAGTCAAAAGTTAAGAAAAATTTTAAAAATATTTAAAAAAACTACGTTCTAATATGCCAGTATCGCAAGTTTAAGTGTCTTACACCTCTACAGCTACCCAGACAGCACATAAATATTGCATGAATATTCAATTCATATCTCAACTGCATACTCCTATATTCCATGGATATGCCATATCCGCCATGGCATATGACAGGAAGATTGCAGGAATATTCAAGGTCACCATGAAACATATGCCCGCGATATGATTTTATCTGTCAAAATATATGTATGGCATATTCTCTGGATTTACTGAGGATATCTATGTATGCCTATATTTATGGTATTTTGAATATGCATGGCATATTCAATTTTTTTTTTGTAATGCCGTACCATAGTTTAGAAAATAAAACCCATACTTAAATACAAAATACATTTTATTTTCAAAATAAAGCAAATTTAAAAAAATAAAACAATACATACATACAAAAACTAAAAATTTAAATTTATTTGCTAAGGTTCTTCACGTACTTTTCTCCTAAAAAAAATGATATAATAGTACATTATATACCTAGGGTGAGAAGTGAGCTATTATTTACCGCGCACTTTTATATCCTGAGGCGCGTAGCGCCGAGGTATATAATGTGCGAGGTAAATAATAGCTTTCTCAGCCGAGGTATATATAGAATTTTTTTTACTACTAACATTAATATATTAGCAATTTTAATTTTGACATAAGTAATTTCCTAACAATTTGTTAAATATTTCGAAATATCAAGCAGACTGGAGCGTGTTTCTAATCTGGGCGGCTATCCTCGACAATCGCTAAAAAAACGAACCGTTTTCGAAAGTGAGTGGTTGAAAAGCGAGTAGTTTCTGAAATCTATATTCTTGACTGACGTTCGATGAGTATTCGTTTTTTAAGACGTGTACGTTTTTAACAAGCAAATAATATGTCTGGCATCACTGTAAACTGTCTATATCGTTGAATTCAAGTAATGTGCAGGCCATAAAAGAATAAGAATTATGTAATTTAATTACAACAAACCAATTGTAAATTTGTCGAACGATTATTTTTTCTAATCACATAATATATATCGATGTTCAGGATAATCTGAATCGTTAATTGTTGGCGTAAAAATAGCTATACGGGTGCAGTTAATGCAACCTATAATTCTAGGAAAATCGTACATAATAAAAACCTAGTTTTTATAGTAAACAATTCATTTAACTAATAACTTTGCTTATCTTATTCAGTTCTTTAATATTTTGTGGCAATTTTACAAAATTGTAAAAATTTCTGGACACAACGTGTGATACAAAAGAGCTTTGAACCGCAAGCATATTAACATTTGTAAATAAAACATACATGAATTAATAATTAAATTCTTACACGGTAAGATATAAAAAATATTCATTCAATATCAGTTAAAATCAAAAACTGGATTCTGCCTCTGCAAGTCTGAATCTTTAAGGATTCTTATCTTCTAAGTTTTCTAATTGTACAATTATTGATAATATAATTGAAAGAAATTCGCAGCTAATGGACTTCTTTAGTACTGCAAACCATATTTATAAGAAATTAGATACTTTTGTAGGTATTAATAAATAGTAGTTTATCTAGAATTTGTTAAAATCAATCAATATTATTAATCGTCCTAAAAGTGACATATAAGTGACATTGACTAAATCCTTGAAAACATGCACGTTTTATCAAAAACGTGTGAAAAATTCCGCTCGCTGTAAAACACCCGTTTTAAAAGCGTACACGCTTTTAAAACGAATGTCGAGAATAGCGAATAGCTCGTATGTTGCTAAAGCGTATACGTTTTTTAGAAAACGATAGCCGAGGATAGGGCCCCAGACTGGCTTTATTTATGTAAAAATTTGGCATGTGTCAAGTTTTGGTATGTTTCTAGGAAATATCCCATTCCATTTTTGATATTTTAATGACATGGATTTATTGGTATTAATTAATAATTTTTGAAGCCGGTGTTGAATTTCCTAGTTAATATATATTTTTACTGTTTACACTGATATATATTATCATATTTGATTTGATTAGATTTGATAAACCCAGCTTTAGTTATTTCCTACTTATTTTTCAAATATTTCAAAATATCAAGTAGTCTGGGAGTTTAGTTGTCAAATTAACAAAATGAAACTAATGAAATTTACTTTCATTATTTACCTAGGTTTTTTTTTATTATCATTATTTACCTAGGGTGAGAAATATTACTTCTCATTAGAGGAATGGAGTAAATAATGGTGCTTTCTCATGTTAGTAGTAAAAAAAAGATATGTATATGTATTATGAAATATTTATAAATTATTTACATGTTGATGCTTTTAATAATAAGTGTTAGAATTGATATAAAAATATCAGTAAAATAGAAATATTTCAAAACCTTGAGACAAACATTACAGTAATACTTACTTCTATAGCATCTTTGGGTCACTTTATTTATAGGCCTCTACATTTTCCGTTGCCATTTGTGTACTGTGGATTTTCCTATACATCTCTAAAAAACAAAAATAGGTTTACATAGTGCCTTGTCTGCAAATCAAAAGAGACTCGTCTACCAATTGATTTACACTTCTTATAAATATTTATGATTTTAAGCACTACACTGATACTACAGAAGGATCATATCGTCGTTGCCGCGGTGAAACCTCCTATGTGATATTTTATCACATTTTTAGATTTTTGTACCAGTTTATAGAAACTAACATTCTGTACAGTTTAGCGAAACCTCCCATGTAATTTTCTTTTATAATATTGTGATTTTAGACCTCCCTTGTGCGTAATACGTATAAGGCAATAGAACAAAATTGTTACGTTTTTATATCTACTGAAAATTTTGATGAAATGTACATAGGAGGTTTCACCGCGACAACGACGATATATTATAAATAATCAGACTTACCCCTTAGGTGGGTATATCGTGAGAAAAAACAAAAACTACAGACTACACGTTAGCAAATCTGACAATGTTTGGTTATGTGTCATATTCTTCTTTTTTTTTTCATTAGTGGGCTTCACCGTTTAGAGTATTTGACCAGGTATAATGTATAAAAAATACTCCTCACAATCTAACTTCCCGTGTAACAAAGATTTACGTTCGACGATAGGCTAGATTATGAGTGGAGCCAATAAAACACTATTAGGTAATTTTTACTACCAACTACCAATACGTACTAGGCGCATATTTTTGACTTGACTGTTAGAATCATTCTTTTGTCCTTTTCTTGTCTACATTATAGGAAAACTATACCTACTTTTTTTTATCTATGAAGAGAAAGATAATTTGATCTCGGAGGCTTAATTTTTTTTATTAATTGAAAATAAGTTTGTACAATAATGATTTAAAGTTACATTCCGGAGTTCTAAGTTCACGTTTTTGTTTAATTTAAGTCTTTATAAACTAAACAAGGTTGATCCTGTTAACTATGTCTTCATTTGTACTTATAGATAATAAAACAAAGTAGTTAAATATAACATAATATTCTACAGAGATATCTATACAATATGAAAAATGAATATGCAGAGCATATCAAAAATACATATGCCTGGAATGTCCTTCTAGAATGTAGAATATGAAATATATTTAGTGAATATTCCATAAATATTGCAATATATTTTGGCAAATAGGCAGATTGGTGGCATATGCCAGGGATATAGTGTGCTGTCTGGGTATATATAGCTCTTCTTTAAATGTAACAAATAAATTAATCATTTCAAAAATACATGAAATATCACTTTTAGTAACTTTTAAAACTATTGTCGTATAATAAATATGTTATAAAAAGAAATAGTTACCATCTCTTAAATCTCCAGCCTCTATTTCGCTAACACCATTATCAATAGAATCTAATCCTTCGCTTTCCGATCTAGCCTTTACGTCCAATTTCGATTTCCATCCGCCACGAATGAAATTATTCAAATTAGCACTAGGATCACTGAGACGCCTCTGAGTTCTGTATATATAAAAATCTTCCGGATCTTCTTCCCAGTCGGAATCCCACATATCCGTAGCGCAAAAACCGGGTTCTGAAGTAGGCGTCTCTACGCCGGAGCCTTTCGGTTTCGTTACCGCCATTTCGGCGTGGCCTTTTCCTTGAGGACCTTTCATCCGAACGAATTCGCATCGTTGAGCCGTCGAGGCCGAGAACAAACCGAACGTCATTTTTTGTGCCATTTTTGTGCTTAAACTTGACTGCTGAAACAAAGTTATTCTTATGAAAATAAAGTAAAAACAAATTTTAATGTAACAGTTCAATGTAACAGTTCAATGTAACACTACTACGTGAAATAAAAAGAAATTAGAATAAATTAGAAGAAATTAGAAGAAATTAGAAGAAATTAGAAGAAATTAGAAGAAATTAGAAGAAATTAGAAGAAATTAGAAGAAATTAGAAGAAATTAGAAGAAATTAGAAGAAATTAGAAGAAATTAGAAGAAATTAGAAGAAATTAGAAGAAATTAGAAGAAATTAGAAGACATTAGAAGAAATTAGAAGAAATTAGAAGAAATTAGAAGAAATTAGAAGAAATTAGAAGAAATTAGAAGAAATTAGAAGAAATTAGAAGAAATTAGAAGAAATTAGAAGAAATTAGAAGAAATTAGAAGAAATTAGAAGAAATTAGAAGAAATTAGAAGAAATTAGAAGAAATTAGAAGAAATTAGAAGAAATTAGAAGAAATTAGAAGAAATTAGAAGAAATTAGAAGAAATTAGAAGAAATTAGAAGAAATTAGAAGAAATTAGAAGAAATTAGAAGAAATTAGAAGAAATTAGAAGAAATTAGAAGAAATTAGAAGAAATTAGAAGAAATTAGAAGAAATTAGAAGAAATTAGAAGAAATTAGAAGAAATTAGAAGAAATTAGAAGAAATTAGAAGAAATTAGAAGAAATTAGAAGAAATTAGAAGAAATTAGAAGAAATTAGAAGAAATTAGAAGAAATTAGAAGAAATTAGAAGAAATTAGAAGAAATTAGAAGAAATTAGAAGAAATTAGAAGAAACTAGAAGAAATTAGAAGAAATTAGAAGAAATTAGAAGAAATTAGAAGAAATTAGAAGAAATTAGAAGAAATTAGAAGAAATTAGAAGAAATTAGAAGAAATTAGAAGAAATTAGAAGAAATTAGAAGAAATTAGAAGAAATTAGAAGAAATTAGAAGAAATTAGAAGAAATTAGAAGAAATTAGAAGAAATTAGAAGAAATTAGAAGAAATTAGAAGAAATTAGAAGAAATTAGAAGAAATTAGAAGAAATTAGAAGAAATTAGAAGAAATTAGAAGAAATTAGAAGAAGTAAAAAGAAGTAAAAAGAAATAACAAGAAATAATAAAAACAAATAAGAGGAAAAAAATAAAAATCATATGTGGCTAAAGGACTTCGGCCGATGATCTGTAGGGGATAGTAACTCAATAAAGAATGTCTATTATTATTAATATTATTAAACAAAAATAAATAATTGCATAGTTAAAAGTTTGTTTAAATTTAAAACACATATTTTATATTTAATGTTACCAGATAAAAGCTTCTCCAGACAGGAGAAGTTTATACAAAAATCCGAACAAAAACCTGACGTTATAAAAAATAAAAAATATGGTTCTATTAATTTTATTTTACTAATTAGAATTAAGATATTAATTCTTGGCATTCTATATTATACTCTTCAAAGTTTAACAGATCCCCTTAACTCCCATTTTTAAACAGATTTATTTCAACATTTGTCCCTTATCGCCCCATTTTTATTTATTCATTCCCTTATAGAGCTTCATTTTTACCAAACGATTCATGATGATAAAGCTTTTGGTTTTTGATTTCTATTTTTTTTATTTCAACATTCTTTGATCCCCATCTTATTTAGATTTATTTTTAAATCAATAGACTTAGTCCCCTTATAGAGTTTGTTTTTTGCCAAAAATTTCAAGTTGATATTATTGTTCGTTTTTGAGTTTTTTTTTATATTTGAACCCTCTGAATCCCCACATTTTTATTCCAATTTTTTTTTAACTCAATATATTTTGTTCCTTTATAGCGCTTGAATTTTTTATAATTTTCAAGTTGATATAATTTTTCGTTTTTGGCTTATCATTTACAGACTACTGTGTGAAGAGTATAATAAAACAAAACCAAAAAACAACATTTTTATTTCATTGACTTTAGCCCCTATATTAGGGGTTTTACACTCGATGATTTTTTAATGACAAAATATTTGTGATCTAGTTTATTATTCTGTACTTTTAGTTGTTTAAAAACAACTATATTTTAAAACTCGGACATTAACGAAAAATCCATATGGATATAGTAAAAACCCCGGCAAATCCGGACATCTGATAAACCCAGAGATAACAGAGATATAAGCAGTCATTGATAAAATATAATATTCACGATGCCAACATTAATTCGACAATCGATACATTCTATTTCTAGACGCGGAGCGAGGCGACGAAAGGTGAGAAGAGAAGGAATAAAGAGAAGAATTTTACGCAAACAAAACTTATTTTTATCAATGAATAAATGTGTAAGACGCTGTCCGCTTATAATACACAACGTAAATTTCCTTGCCAGTGTAAGCCCTGTTGCCACTTCCAATCTAACATCACTAGGTTTGGAATTTATTGAAAATTATTACATCTAATTTAGTTAAATTTAATATTAAAAATTGTTTGGGTTCAGTTGCAATAAAATAGGTTGAATTATTTTAGCTTTTTAAATATATGTAAATAATTTTGTAAACAAAACGAGAATAATAAAATAGACATATGACAACAGCGGATATTATACTCGTCTGTGTCCCTTAGAATATGTCTTATTCAGGGCCGCACGATATTTGTTAGTAGTTACATCTCCTAATTTTCTCTGGATAAACCCTACCCATATTAAATTAAACCTTACCCGTGCATCGTATACTTTTTTGAGGGCGTCGTATCTAATCGATCCCAAGAATATAACCCCTTGTATACTTCCGGCTCTATCAGCAGCCAACAATTCTACGCATACCATTTCGCCATCGCGAACGAGAATGTCATGGAATACTTCGTCGAAGTTGTCAACCTAAAAGAACATATAATTTATAAAATTAACGAAAGTTAGTTGACCAAAATAATATTATTCCCCTTTAAATTTACTATAGTCTAAATAAAAATCTGATGTGTCCAACACATGACTTTCCTATCTAGTTATTACAGGCTTTTTCCGTTTATTGTGTACAACCTATTGCAGCATCTCTATAAATGTTTAGAGGATAAACTAAATATATACATTGTCCACATACATCTACCGCGAAACATTTTTCTATAGATATTCATTGAAAATGAAAATACTGAAAAATTTAAATTTAGCACTTTTCCATTACGGTCCATTTTAGAAAAATCATGTATAAACAAAAATTATAGAGATCGATACCGCAAACAACTTTTAGTTCAACAATTTTCATAAAAATCAGAATTTTGCACATTTTGTCAAATTTCTCGAATACGGACCATTTCAGGAAATTTTGACATGAAACAAAAATTATAGGTAATAATATTAGAAGTAACTTTTATTTGAACAATTTTCTTCTCCAAACGTAAATAACAGATATATTCCATAAAATATATAAACGGCCTCCCATAAAATACCCCCCCAGATGTTCCGACTTTGATAATTATATTAGAAGTAACTTTTATTTGAAGAATTTTCTTCTCCAAACGTAAATAACAGATTATATTCCATAAAATATAAAAATGACCACCCATAAAGTACCCCCCCAGATGTTCCTACTCTGTCCAAAATCTAATTAGCTCATTGGACGCTGGAACAAAGCTTAAGTTTAAAATTTGGTGTTTTTCCTACAATTTTTCCATTACGGTCCATTTAAAAAAAATCATGTATGAACAAATATTATAGAGATCGATATCGCAAACAACTTTTATTTCAACAATTTTCATAAAAATCAGAATTTTGCACATTTTGTCAAATTTCTCGAATACGGACCATTTCAGGAAATTTTTACATAAGGCAAAAATTATAGATAATAATATTAGAAGTAACTTTTATTTGAACAATTTTCTTCTCCAAACATAAATAACAGATATATTCCATAAAATATATAAACGGCCTCCCATAAAGTACCCCCCCAGATGTTCCGACTTTGTCCAAAATCTAATCATTTCACATCAGGCCGAAATAAAACTTAAGTTTAAAATTTATTGATTTTTTCTTTATCCGTTTTTGAGTTTTCTTCAAATTTCGAAATTTACACATTTTCTCAAATATCTCGAATACGGTCCATTTTAGAGAAATTATTTATGAGACAAAAATTATAGAGAATTATATTACAAACAACTTTTGTTCGAACAATTTTTATAAAAAAAAATATTTTTTTACATTTTGTCAAATTTCTCGAATACGGACCATTTTAGGAAAATTTTGTAAATAACAAAAATTATAGATAATAAAATAAGAAGTAACTTTTATTTAAAAAAATTTCTTCCCCAAACGTAAATAACAGATATATTCCATAAAATATAAAATTGACCACCTATAAAGTACCCCCCTAGATGTTCCGACTCTGCCCAAAATCTAATCAGCTCATTAGACGCTGGAATAAAGCTTAAGTTTGAAATTTGGTGTTTTTCCGTGTATCGGTTCATGAGTTATGCGTTATACAGACACACACACACACACACACACAGACAGACAGACATCATCGCGAAAATAGTCAAAACATATTCAGGGGACCTCAAAACGTAAAAATCCGTCGAAAACTCGAGGTCGAAAAAAATCATGATTCCTATACTTTCCTTATATCTGTATACAGATAGGAAAGTAAAAAAGGGGGTACCTACAGCAATTTAATATTCATGGATTAAGTCCAAGTTCAACGCGTTTGTCAATGACAAGTGACGGTGACTTTTTTATCACAAAAAATACAGATCGATCAATAACGGAAGATGTTAAGCTGGCTGTTACGAATGGAAGAAAGTATTTTTTGCGTTATTGTTCGAGCGTACAAGATGTACCTAACTTTCTAAAAATGAGGTTTTTCATGTTTTTCTGAATGTGAAAACAACAACAATTAGGTTAGAATTTTTTGCAGTTCATTTTTCATTTTATTTAATTTATTATGGCGAAAAGATTAGCTAAAACAACTGTGAAATATTTTAAAAATTCTTATTTTTTCTTTTCTAACTTTATTTCACTATAACTTCTTAATTTCCAATCTTTCTTACCATGAAACAAATGTGCGGATACGTTATTTCTTCGACTTCTCCTTTCGTGTCCATTCTTCTGCGACTAGGCGAAGCATAAACTTTTTGAGAATGTCTCTTTAGAACCTGCAATTCCTTTGGACTCGTTCTTGTACATATGGCCAGGGTTAAGGTATATTCAAATTGATGAATGATGAGATTTAAGTAAACAGTCTCTTCCCAATCAATGTCTGGGTCACCTATTGGCAGCTTTCGGCTATCTTTACGAAACACGTCTACTTCCGTCTAAAAATAGTATAAATTAGAAAAAATTGGATAGATCTAGAGCAGCGGTTCTCAAAGTTTGCTCCGCGAAGCCCTAGCAGGGCTCTGCAAAGACTCTATAGGAGATCCGTGAAAATAAAAGTAATAATAAAAAAAATGAAAAGGATGCAGAGTAAAATAAAATTTATCTAAATATTTCAATATGAATTATTTTATTATTATTATTTTAGGAATCCGTCAAATATTTCGTTTCCCAAAAGGGTACCTTTGCCACAAAAGTTTGAGAACCGCTGATCTTGAGCATTTATATTTATACAGAAGTACTCAAAAGTCCCTTTAAAAATAAACTTATTTTGAACTTCTTCTATTAGTAGTAATAGGTAACATAATAGTCACAGATAAAAGCAACTGTTACCAATAACTTTTAACAGAAACTTATGACAAATGACACCTCGTTTTAAAGGTATTCAAAATACCTCTTCAATCATACTAATGGTTGTTTGTATTTATGATAATTTTTATGAATAAACTAAATAATTACTAAGAACAGTTTAACATTTAAATAGTAAAGAATATTCAAAAACCAGTTCCAAGAAAGTAAAGTTTTTTACAGGTAAGCGGCTAAAAAGACTAAAAATAAAAAAATATTTGAAAAATATAATAATGTTAAAAATAAAAACAAATTTAGATAAATAAAATGAAATAAAACTATTGGCAAATGTAACTCCTTGTACTTATATTTGTATATTTTTAAAATGCATAATGTTCTTATATATCGTAATAAATAATAATTAAAATGAACAAAAAATTCTAATTAATAACAAACATTTTATATTTAAGACAATTATACTGATTGTAGACGCGTATTCGATTGTATAGACGCTCAATATCTTCCATAAAACCCAATATTTTTTTATAAATTTGTTTAATGTAGTTTTTAATTATTTTTAGTACCTACATATTGTTCAATGTTTTTCTGTCCAGAAATGTTTAATTTATGTTTTTTATTCCAAGACTATTTTATATTATGTTTTAAACCATCTTTTAAACTATGTTTTAAACTGTGTTTTAAATTATGTTTTAAACTATAGTTTAAACTGTTTTAAACTATAGTTTAAACCGTTTTAAACTATGTTTTAAACTAGGCTTAAAACTATGTTTTAAACTAAGTTTTAAACTAAGTTTTAAACTAAGTTTTAAACTAAGTTTTAAACTAAGTTTTAAACTAAGTTTTAAACTAAGTTTTAAACTAAGTTTTAAACTAAGTTTTAAACTAAGTTTTAAACTAAGTTTTAAACTAAGTTTTAAACTAAGTTTTAAACTAAGTTTTAAACTAAGTTTTAAACTAAGTTTTAAACTAAGTTTTAAACTAAGTTTTAAACTAAGTTTTAAACTAAGTTTTAAACTAAGTTTTAAACTAAGTTTTAAACTAAGTTTTAAACTAAGTTTTAAACTAAGTTTTAAACTAAGTTTTAAACTAAGTTTTAAACTAAGTTTTAAACTAAGTTTTAAACTAAGTTTTAAACTAAGTTTTAAACTAAGTTTTAAACTAAGTTTTAAACTAAGTTTTAAACTAAGTTTTAAACTAAGTTTTAAACTAAGTTTTAAACTAAGTTTTAAACTAAGTTTTAAACTAAGTTTTAAACTAAGTTTTAAACTAAGTTTTAAACTAAGTTTTAAACTAAGTTTTAAACTAAGTTTTAAACTAAGTTTTAAACTAAGTTTTAAACTAAGTTTTAAACTAAGTTTTAAACTAAGTTTTAAACTAAGTTTTAAACTAAGTTTTAAACTAAGTTTTAAACTAAGTTTTAAACTAAGTTTTAAACTAAGTTTTAAACTAAGTTTTAAACTAAGTTTTAAACTAAGTTTTAAACTAAGTTTTAAACTAAGTTTTAAACTAAGTTTTAAACTAAGTTTTAAACTAAGTTTTAAACTAAGTTTTAAACTAAGTTTTAAACTAAGTTTTAAACTAAGTTTTAAACTAAGTTTTAAACTAAGTTTTAAACTAAGTTTTAAACTAAGTTTTAAACTAAGTTTTAAACTAAGTTTTAAACTAAGTTTTAAACTAAGTTTTAAACTAAGTTTTAAACTAAGTTTTAAACTAAGTTTTAAATCAAGTTTTAAATCAAGTTTTAAATCAAGTTTTAAACTAAGTTTTAAACTAAGTTTTAAACTAAGTTTTAAACTAAGTTTTAAACTAAGTTTTAAACTAAGTTTTAAACTAAGTTTCAAACTAAGTTTCAAACTAAGTTTTAAACTAAGTTTTAAACTAAGTTTTAAACTAAGTTTTAAACTAAGTTTTAAACTAAGTTTTAAACTAAGTTTTAAACTAAGTTTTAAACTAAGTTTAAGTTTTAAACTTAGTTTTAAACTAAGTTTTAAACTAAGTTTTAAACTAAGTTTTAAACTAAGTTTTAAACTTAGTTTTAAACTAAGTTTTAAACTAAGTTTTAAACTAAGTTTTAAACTAAGTTTTAAACTAAGTTTTAAACTAAGTTTAAGTTTTAAACTAATTTTAAGTTTTAAACTAAGTTTTAAACTAAGTTTTAAACTATGTTTTAAACTATGTTTTAAACTATGTTTTAAACTATGTTTTAAACTATGTTTTAAACTATGTTTTAAACTATGTTTTAAACTATGTTTTAAACTATGTTTTAAACTATGTTTTAAACTATGTTTTAAACTATGTTTTAAACTATGTTTTAAACTATGTTTTAAACTATGTTTTAAACTATGTTTTAAACTATGGTTTAAACTATGTTTTAAACTATGTTTTAAACTATGTTTTAAACTATGTTTTAAACTATGTTTTAAACTATGTTTTAAACTATGTTTTAAACTATGTTTTAAACTATGTTTTAAACTATGTTTTAAACTATGTTTTAAACTATGTTTTAAACTATGTTTTAAACTATGTTTTAAACTATGTTTTAAACTATGTTTTAAACTAAACTATGCTTTAAACTGTTTTAAACTATATTTTGAACTATGTTTTAAACTAAGTTTTAAACTATATTTTGAACTATGTTTTAAACTAAGTTTTAAACTATATTTTAAACTATGTTTTAAACTATGTTTTAAACTATGTTTTAAACTATGTTTTAAACTATGTTTTAAACTATGTTTTAAACTGTTTAAAATATGTTTGTTTTAAAATATGTTTTAAAATGTTTTTTTTAATATGTTTGTTTTAAAATATGTTTGTTTTAAAATGTTTGTTTTAAAACATGTTTGTTTTAAAATGTTTTAAAATAGGGTTAAAATATGTTTTAAAATATGTTTTAAAATATGTTTTAAAATATGTTTTAAAATATGTTTTAAAATATGTTTTAAAATATGTTTTAAAATATGTTTTAAAATATGTTTTAAAATATGTTTTAAAATATGTTATAAAATATGTTTTAAAATATGTTTTAAAATATGTTTTAAAATATGTTTTAAAATATGTTTTAAAATATGTTTTAAAATATGTTTTAAAATATGTTTTAAAATATGTTTTAAAATATGTTTTAAAATATGTTTTAAAATATGTTTTAAAATATGTTTTAAAATATGTTTTAAAATATGTTTTAAAATATGTTTTAAAATATGTTTTAAAATATGTTTTAAAATATGTTTTAAAATATGTTTTAAAATATGTTTTAAAATATGTTTGTTTTAAACCTATGTTTTAAACTATATTTTCATCTGCGTTTTAAGCCCATGTTTAATGTATGTTTTAGTCACGCACAAGTTGTATTTAAGTAACAATGGCGAATAATCCAATAGATAAACTGTAATAAATAAATGACCGTGTTTTAAACACTTAAAAAAATTACACTGGTCTTCGGCTCGGGATAATTTTCAAAATATTCGTGAGATCGAAAAAAATTCTGGATATTATTTGATTTCTAGTGGTATTATTAGTGAAAATTCAAGGTATAAACACCTGTAGAAACGTAAAGAAAGTAAAAAAAAATGGAAAATAAAAACAGTCAACCAGAGGCGGACTCTCGAATTTTTATTAATTAAATGCGGCCTATTATTTTAGTATTTATTTAGTTTATTCATCAAAATTGCCCCAAATCTAAACAAAATGAATAGGTATTTTAAACGAGGTGGCAGTTTTCATAAGGTTCCATTTAAAATTATTAGTTACAGAGACCTTGCTACGTCATCAATTACTATTATGTCATCTCTTTATTTTCAACTTCTATAAATTTTATTAATTAAAAATATTTAAGCGAGAGGGGAATTTTGACTAGGACTAGAATGTAAATGAAATTGAATAAATAAATAGGTTTAAATAGTTGTATACCTCAAATTTCGGTAAATATCTTGGAGACCCTTTCACGTGCTTTTTTCTAACGAAAAATAAAAGGTCGTCGCAGTCCATAGTCGATTCATTTTGAAATAAAAAATGTCTCACAAACAAATCTGTCCAATATGTTGTTCCTTGAAGCATAACGAAGCCTGATTCTGGAAATGAGAGAAATATAAAAGTAATTTTAAAAAGTACGTGTGGCACTCGGGGACTGCTGCGGTAAAGCTATTGCATAGCATTTTTTATCAACTTATGTAATTATAATTATTTATTTATTTTATTTATGCAGTATTTTTTTTTTTAATATTAATTCAAGTTACACTTTTTAAGCGTGGTGACCGATAAGAAAATTTTTTTTCTTTTATTGAATAAATGAGAAGTTAATATTGTTTAAAATATTTTTATTCTCTTACAATACATGTAGGTTATTCAGGAATTTTTATCATTAAAACTATAGGTTTATGGCTTAGATTAAAGAGACCGAAGATGTAACATTGCACACTGCGCATGTTGTCTATTTTAAGCCAAAGTAACCCACCAATTGAAAATCATTGTTGCACGACGCCACCCGAATTGCTCCGATTTCCATTCAGCGATCACACCTCCACCTGAGTTTAATCACCATTGACAGCTGTTTTTTGATTTATTTGTTGGTATTTTAGCAATTTAAAGTGTTCTAGTTATTCAAT